GCTGCTATATTCATAATACCTCGGTGTGTTTTTGTATATGTTAGTTTTATTAGTTATCGTTTAAAATTGTACAAGTTCTTCGTGCGGGAAATAACAGTGTTTCGAAATCTCACGATTGAGATAAAAGCGCTTCAAATCTTTACTTACAATCATTTTATGCGACAAAGCGACGTTTCGAACGAAACTTGGTTGAAGAACCTGACGTAACACCGAGCATGCGACGATTATTGTATAAAATGATTGTATCGATAAAGATTATACATACTGTTTTCCCGATCTTGTTATTCGGAAACATTCCTATGTACTATATTTGTAGTTATGTTAGTTCGCTAATAGTGCTTAACTCAGAGAAGTTCCGTTTTGTAAACGCAGGTTTAGTTGATCAAAGGTAGTAATTATAGTATTTAAGTTTAGTTGGTAAATGGTTAATTGATTATGAGAAAGGAGACTTTGAAAGAACATGGACTTCTACCTCTCTCATAAGAGCTCATCGATCGGCGCTTATTTGGATGATTTGAAAGAAGAATTGAATTAGGTTCTTTGTTCGTCTAAATTTTGTCCGGGACACACTCTTCATGGTCAAAAACGAAATGTGTTTAAACCATTTTCTCTAGAGAACCATGCGCGATTGAGGACAGAAACAAAAGGGAAGGAAAGTGTGTAACCGTTGGAACGTTGGTCTTCTTTACACCTTCATAGATAGAGCCATTTACGGCGCCCTTCTTTTTATGAAGTTAATGGGGGGATGCTAAGCTCCATTTCCATCTTACCAGTCAGTCGTACCTCATGTTGAAGGCAGAGTCGACAACGGCTGTGTGGCAAGTTTAGTGTGTAGCTTCCTGGTTCCTTCTCACAGAGTAGTAATAATTTATAATCCTCAGAAGAAAGAAAAGCGAGCCACGTGACGAATGTTTTGTTTGTAATGAATGTTTCGTTTTCTACTAAAATTTTAATTTGTCTCATTTCCATTGATGCAAGCAGTCACGGCAATAAACGTAAGTTTAAAGCTGATTAATTCTGTACTGCCGCAGTTTTGAAGTTTGCCGTTGCTTCCGGTTTTAGAGAAGGTCTCGTTTTCACTTGGGCGGTCATCAGGTAGTAAGAGTTTTTAGTGTGTCATGATGGTCTGGGTTCTTTTGTCGAAGTTCGCTATGCGAGAAATAGCCCGTTACCGGCAGTCATTCAGCATACAGAAAACAGCTGTTCGCAGCCAGTTTGGCGCTTGCCGTTTGCGGAGTGCCGACTTCAAAGCCGGCGCCCTTTGGTCACGGTTCATCGGTCCGCGTCCGCGGGACCTCGTCGTTCATGCACTGCTGGCCATGGCGACACAAAAGACACCGTCGCCCCCCTCCCTCCCCCATGGCGGAAAGACATGCTTTTGACGTTAGTGTCGAAGAGCCGTTCGAAAAACCTCCTTCTCTCTACGCTAACTGCGAAACGTTCGTTTTGTGCGCGTTCGCTTCTCCGCGAGCGCTCACTTTTTCTCTCGCTAAAAAATGAAGTACCTGCTTAAAAAAGTATTTAGAACAGGTGAGAAATATTTTATAGAAAGTAAATCAAAGGGAAGCGGCGATTTCGCTATTTATGTTCAGTGATGTGCGCAAAGCTTACTGAAACGATCTGTGGTTTACACTCAGAAGTTGTCAACGCTTAACGAGCACCTCACCGAAAATGAGGTAATCATCTTATCTTTGAACGAAAATTACTGCTGTACACAATAGAAGTTGGATGTTTGACTCTGTTCGCATCCACGTGGTACCTCCTGGATTCATATTGTGTCAAAATTATTGACATCTTGAAAAACACGTATGCCAGGACAACGGCGGTGGTACGAACACATTCAATCCTTTCAGACAGCTTTGAAGTTGATAGCAGAGTGCGGCAGGGGTTGGTCCCCGGAGCTACGTTATTCTGCTGTAACATGAATGCCATGATGATGGAG